CACACTCCTTAATCTAATTCAATCTTTTAAACTACATATTATTTTTCATAAGGTTCAGGCCCATACTGATAATACCTAGATAATAACATCATTCTTAAACAAGCAAAGTTTGAAATTAATAACTGCACACATAATATCAATTATAGAAAGATCGATAAACAATTAATTAAATTACAAATGCAAACTATTATAAAATCAATTGATCGTGGTCAAATTTCTTAGGATGCATATAGGTCCTTGGCTAGAGCTGAAGCAGTTTATGATGTAAGACAAGAAATTACAAATAAAGTAAATGAGAAAATTCTAATTAGTTTAGTTAATATTGATCAGCCAACCAGTTTTGAACCAATTACTGAAGAGTCTAATATTACCAATCTTATCCTAGTTTCTAATATCATTTTGTCTATTGGTAAAGGTGGTCAGAGATGAATTACAGACATACTTAATTATATAATTCCATTGTATGTTTAAAGAGGTTTTAAAACCTGGCTCCACTTTACATTTATATATCTCCAGTTGTAAGCAAAAAGTAAAGCACGTCATAATAACTATGGCATTTTTGAATAATTTAGACAAGTTACATAAACCAGAAACACATTATATATTAGTTCTATTCCCTAGTGTAGAAAATTATTATTTACTTCAAAATGTACTAGCATCTTTAATATCAGATTTGCGATTTTTAAGTGAATATAGATTTTATAAAATTGGAGAAAGACAGTGGAACATCAAGTTATATTTTAGCTCAGATTGGAAATTTTTGGCCATATATTTAGAAATAAATGCTGCAAACTCCAATTACTTTTACCTATAGTGTTATTGTAATAAAGTAAATTTAACTACTATTGAATATAATACAATTTCTAAAGATATGCAAGCAATAAAAAATCTTATACAACACTTAATAGACATATTCGATCTTCTCTTTTTGATATGATTCCAATTAAACATTAGATATATGATAGTTTACATATTATGTTAAGAGTAAGTAATTGACTCAAGGAATGATTTTTGTTAGATCTTCAGCATGGTAAACTAAATGAAAATTTTCAAAATTTAATTTTAACTAAAATGAAAAGGTTACAAGTTAATTTTTATTTTTGGACTAACATAAGAACACAACATTTATCAAATACATCATTAATGGATCCTGACAAACTTAATATTTTGGAAAATTTTGATTTTACTAATTTCATATCAAAGAATTTTTTTCAAGAATGTGCTGTTCGACTTCACCAACTTTGGACTAGCTTTTTTGAACTATACAAAATGATGATGCTACCAAATATAATGGGGTCAGAATTTAAAATTAAAGCAGAAATATGGTTAAAGTTATTTTTAGAACCATCCAAGAGACAACCAAATTGACTCAATTTTATTTACAGCATGTATCAGGTAAATATATATATATTTTTTGCCCTCAAAATGTATATGTAATATTAAAATATTAACATTAATATTGTTCATAACAAAAAGGCAGCTGATGCTATGCCTTACATGCATATGTTAGTATGCCATGTACATGAGTTGATTGATATTTATCAAGAATTCAGAATAGCCACTTTTAATTGTTTAGCTATTAAGAAAAAAAATTATCTACAAGTTTGTTGCTATTTTTAGTTTACACTCAAAGATGGTGGTCATAAAAACCACAGACATTCATGCATTCTTGAATTATTAGAACACAAAAATTGAGAATTATTATTTCTTTTTTGGTATTAAGGTGAGACCTTGCTTGTATCTTTATTAATAATTTTTGAAATAGCAACAATATAGAGGTTTACAGAGTTGCTACTACGTATTTTACTAGTATAAATAAAAATAAAATTATATGCAAGAATAAAAGCTCAGACAGAGAAAAATTTATCTGCGACCTAAACCTACTAGAGTGGTCAAAGACTCACCTAGATTACTATAGTTAAGATATAATTTAAAGAAAAACTATACCTGGCCCAATGTGTAGACCAGATGTTAATTTTCTTTTTGACCTGGCCAACCGATAGACAGACTCCATTATGTGAGTATAATTGGTCTGATAATTCACATAAACAAGAGTATGTATATGTTTGTCATATATGGTTAGTATTTCTAAGTTGCTGGTTTGGGTTTATGATACGTATCAAAGCTTGGATCATCTAGTTGTTGAGTAGAGTTATTGGTAGAGTATAGAAAGGTTAATTGATGTTGTTTTTTCCAGTTAGCAAAGTTTGTACAATAAGGTTTCTATATTTGTTTATATAATTGTTTATTAATTTTAAGTTATAATATTTGATACTGTCTTATAGGAAACATTATAGTCTTAAATAGTTTCGATTAGAGATCAGGGATCAGACCTTTGAGAGTAGGCTCTATATAATATGAGTAAGGTTGTGGTGCTATATTATAGAATGCTTCGTGTTTGTAGATTTTTTGAACTAAATTTTCTAGTTCATTGTTAGATATATCAAGTTCAACTGAGTGAAGATGATTTTTAATAATGGATAGAATTAATTGGTGAAGTAAAGAAGGATTGACACAGATACGCCAGTGTGATAGAGAGTCAAGAGAATTACAGTGAACACATTTATCACTGTGAAAGAATTTGGGGTATAGTGTATGATAAAGTGAATATGTAGGCAACTTATTAAGTAATGTTTTAATTTTAAAGGACTTAAGCTGATTAAGTTTGAAATTGGTAAAGTTGTATGTAGGTTTATGATTGTAATTAAAGTAAAGCCATATAGATCTCCATTAATTTGTTGATTAAGTGAAGACCATTTATTATTTCATTTCTAAGATGACCACATAGCCAAGATGTGGGCTTTACAGATAGTTTTGATAAAGTATCTGGTAGAGTATTCTACTGGATACA